CCTGCTTAGGAAAGGCATAATTCCGTGAGTTTATTTTAAAGACTATAATCTTTGTTCAAGGTAATGCTCTAAAGATCAGTGTCCAGTGTGAAATTAAAAGTCATGTGGTTCATTCAGATGTCTTTTCCTTTATGACAAGAGTGACAGCACATGGAGTGATGATGGAAAGACCATGATCTAGGATCATGCTACAGGAGTAGTTGCAGTTGGTGTGGATTGATGCAAACTAATTATAGGTCTGCCCATGGGCAAGTAAACAGAAAGGACAGAGATTTCCTCTGTCCTGTTTATACTTGTATTCTCAGTATATGTAATTGGTTTTAGGTATACACTGCCTCCCAGTAAAGGACCTCAGATCTATTTGAGGCTTCAAAAGGGTTAAAAGACAATACTCTCTGTCTATAGATAATTTAAGAAGCTGTGCCTAAGACCTTGAAAGAGTTGGTGAAGTTGCCATTCCATGGCTGGATCAGGAGAATCTCCGGTTGCTTTCCATGGAATATTGAATGGAGACTGGATAGTCAAGAATCCCTCAGAAAGACCTTGTGCTGGTAGCTTCCTGAACAGCAAACCTGTGAGCTTTCACTGGGGCTGACTTCCACAGTCAGAGCAGAGGCTCTGCTCCCCTTGCTTAGGTCCTATTCCTTCTGATAGTACAGTGATTGATGTCTGTACGAGGACCTCACCAGATGAGATAGGGCAAAAGATGGCAGCTGGCGGTATGGTGGGAAGAGAGCAGCAAGAAATGTTTAAGTTCCACAAAGGGATATTTGTAGCCTGATGCTCAGACTTTTCCTTCGCTAAATCTGGTTTCTTGTTAACAGATCCTGTTTCCATCTGGGCTGCTAAGTGCCTGCCTTTCTCAAGATCTTTGTGGAGGTAAGGACATGCGAGAGTTGCAGAAGACAAGTATTTGTTTTAAATTTATCGTTTTGATTCACAAAACAAAGTGGCTGCCTGTGAAGATTTTCACAGTTTTTATGAGTGTTAATTTGGACCAATTAGAAGCCTTGGCTGTGAGAAGTGCTTGTTTAATTTAAATATGTATGTGGAGAAAGTGGGCCTTATCAATTAAAGCCATGGCAGGAACTCAGCCATCAGGAAATCCACAGACCATCTGTTCACTTGAACATCTGATCAAGACAAAATCACCTCCACACACTTAGTTTAAGCATAGATCATTGTAGGTGCTTCAACCCAGTGCAAGCTTTGATTTCTCTATTAAGCATGAACAACTTCCCAGCTATTTATTTTCAGCACCCCTCATTTTTGGCTATTCTGGATACCTACCTGTCCTCAATTTGCACATGTAGTTCAAGGGATCGCAGGGGAGTGTTTATGAAATTCCATTTAAAAAGGTTTTCATGAAATAGGTTTATTGGTATTCTGGATGAGCTGATAATGACTTCTTTTCCATCTGCACCTGCTACTCTATCACTCCTCTCCCTCCCTCTTGAACTTTTGCTTGAGTCTAGGAATCAATTTTGTCTCATTTCCAGCCATTGCTTCATTGTGGTTTGGCTGGATTCATTATACATACACCCAGAGTAGAAGGTAACTTGGTGCATCTTAATGACAAATACTGCCCTTACAATGAGAAGCATTATCACTCTTCTTGCTATTTTGTTTTGTTCCTTGGGATAATCAGGAGATAGAATGATATTAAAATGAGGGGCTTTCTTATGGCACATTTTCCCCACTGTCTCACTTCATGGTAAACTCTGCTCAGCACTTATAGGCATTTGTTGGAACTCAAACTTTTCATATTGTTCTGACGAGTCATAAGTGATGCAGAAAGACTGTCACTTTGTCATTGACTGTCCCACCATGGGGCTGACATGTATTCCCTGTGGTCTTTCTGTTCACAGCTCTTTAGAGTATAAGTTAGCTAGCTATTCATTGGGTGCACAGATCAGTCACTGAATTGAATTTTGTGTCTAACATCTATGAAACTTACTCATGAGTGGACTTTAAAGAATCAGATGATTCCAGAAGGTGTACTCGTGAAACCAGTAGTTCACCATCTCTACCACTACTTCCCCAGTTCTTACTTGCCATGTTCATTTAGAAGTGACACAATATAATTCTGTGGTTATACAATAAACTGGTGCTGAAAACTGATCAGGAAATAATGGGACCGCTGAAAGGTTTTAAGATGTGGTTCTTGGACGGCACCGAGGCTCACTTGGCTAATCCTCCGCCTGCGGCACGGGCACCCCCCGGTTCTAGTCCCGGTTGGGGTGCTAGATTCTGTCCTGGTTGCTCCTCTTCCAGGCCAGCTCTCTGCTGTGGCCAGGGAGTGCAGTGGAGGATGGCCCAAGTCCTTGGGCCCTGCACCCCATGGGAGACCAGGAGGAAGCACCTTGTTCCTGGTTTTGGATCGGCGCAGTGTGCTGGCCGTGGTGGCCATTTGAGGGGTGAACCAACAGAAGGAAGACCTTTCTCTCTGTCTCTCTCTCTCTCACTGTCTAACTCTGCCTGTCAAAAAAATGATGTGGTTCTCTAACCACTTTTGTTGACTGTCTGTCTTAGGGGGAGAAGAATTAGAGGTTGGAGCCACAGAAAAAGGGGATCAGGAGACATGGAATAACAAATAGCCTAGAGATGAATGAGAAATCCCTGAATAGCAGTAATCTATAGAGATGCTCTTTAGGATGAAGATACAGCAAATAGGATGACAAGAGTGTTTGGTGTGAAAGGTACAACAGGCTTTGCATGTTTAAGGCACTGCCTCCTGTCCCCTTTGCCTTACCTACTCTTCTGTGTTTTTCATCTTCCCAACTTGACAAGCAACTTAAAGGTATATAATAGTTCTGGGACTTTGATTATGTGAATACATCTTTAAGGGGAGGTGTGTGTGTATATAGACAGAATTAACACCCTTTGCAGATGCCACCTCTCCCTCTAAGATTTCAACTTTAGAATAATGGGAATTCCAATGAAATGTTCTGTATTATTGCCAGTCATTTTTCTTTAACTTGCATGTGTCTTTATACCTTCTGCCTTAAAGTTTGATTGAAGTAATAGTAATACCTAGGAAAAAGCCATCAGTTGAAATTTAGTTACAGTACCCATGCAGGCAATCTTAGATCAAGATGCATCAGTTGCTTTAAATGCTTCAGTTATGTGTGTATTCCATCTGTGGTCTACTTTTTAAACACTTGAGCAAGAAGCTGGTAACACTATGCTGCTAATGCTATCATCTTTCTTGGTTTGTCTCTAAAGTGACAGAAAGACAAAGTTCCTGATACATGAGTAAAGGACAGTTAGTAGTAGTTATCATCATCTTTTAGTTATCTGCAACCTGAGAACAATTCTTTTTATCCTTGAAAAGTTTGATTCACCAAAATGCAGAAGGAGATTTGGGCTCCATGCAGGTATTTTCTTTTAAGTTATTTTAAGTTATACAATTTTCATGTATTTCACATACACCACCACCTCCCTCCTGCCCACACTCCAACTCTTCTTCCTCCTCCCTCTCACATTCCCACTCTTAATTTTTAGAGATCTATTTTCAGTTTACGTAATGATCATATAGTTAACCCTATACTAAGTAAAAGTTCAACGTCGTATGAAGAAAAAAAACTAAAAAAAAAAGAGCACTGTTCTCAACAGAAGAGAGAGGGGCTGTAAGCAATCATTGAATCTAAAGATGTTTGTCACTCCAATAT